TAAATATGCTGGGAGTTATCAGAGGGAAGTGAATGGAGTTAAATCCTGCTGGAGGCTGGTCACTAGTGGTGTCCCCTGGGGCTCTGTACTGGGGCCAGTTCTCTTCAATATCTTTATCAGTGATCTGCATCGGGGGATCAAGTGCACGCTCAGTAAGTTTGCAGACATCACCAAGTCAGGTGTGAGTGACCTCAGGTCAGGTGTGAGGAACCTCCTACCTGCTCAAAGGTAGGAGGGCTCTGCAGAGGGATCTGGATATGGGATGACTGGACCGATGGGCTGAGGCCACCTGTAGGAGGTTAAACAAGGCTGAGTGTGGTGTCCTGCACTCGGGGCATAACAAGCCCAAGCAGTGCTACAGGCTGGGGGAAATGTGGCTGGAAAGCTGCCAGGTGGAATGGAACAGGGGGATATTGGCTGAATATGAGCCAGCAGTGTGCTCAGGTGGCCTGGCTTGTATCAGAAACTGTGGCCAGCAGGACTGGGGAAGCGATCATCCCTCTGTACCTGGCTCTGGTGAGGCCACACCTCAAATCAAATACTCTGTTTAGTTTTGGGCCCCTCACTACAGGAAGGACATCGAGGTGCTGGAGCGTGTCCAGAGAAGGGCAATGAAGCTGGAGAACAAGTCTTATGAGGAGTGGCTGAGGGAACTAGTGTTGTTTAGTCTAGAGAAAAGGAGGCTCAGAGGAGACCTCATCATGTTGTACAGTCACCTTAAAGGAGGCTATAGCAAGCATTTTTATATCCTGTAAGCATTTGTTTTCCAATATTAAAATTGTGGGTTGCAAAGGTGTGGTTTGCCTGACACAGTGTCATGGTCATGTCATATCACGTGGCAATGGCAGGTTGCTATTTGTGTTGGCTGGTGAGGACACGGGCTTTCTTGGTGGCTGTTGTTGTCATGTTCTGCTGCAGCACAGAGGGACAAATTGAACTTTCTTGGCAATAACACACCTTCTGGCAATAGGCAAGGATGTGCCTCGGGCCAAAGCTCGAGTTTGGTGTCAATCTGACATATCAAGCTCAGCTCTGCTTGCTGACTGGCACGTTTTTTTATTGTTTCTTATAATGTTATGCCTAAATTATCCTATTCTTGATTACACCTGCTTCTACCTAGTTGTATTTCTCGTAGCACATTCAATGCTACAAGTGCCTCTGTTTCCTTGGTATTCAAGCCTTTTAAAATTGGTAGACCGTCTTTTCTCTGGTATTCTTTAGCCAACTCCAGAACCGTCAGTTCTTTTAATCTTTTTCCTAGGTACATTCCTCCTGCATCCTGCTCATTTATTTGCTTTCTCTAAACTCGCTCCATGTTGTCTGCATCTCTCTTAATGAGGTGTCTTGAAGTGAATGCAGGATTCTAAGGGTGATTATCATTATTTTTTTTTTTACCATGCGCAGCAAACAATGCTGGGAGACCCTGGTATTCATAAGGACCTTGTGTTGGATGATAAACAGGGAAAGGAATGATGCCCTCACCGTGTCATAACAAAATGCCTGTGTGTTTACTTTGGTCTTTGCTTCCGTAAATCATTGCAACCTTTTGTCTAATTTGCTATGCACCTTCACCCCGAGGTCTTAAACAGCCTGAATGCATGCTGAATTCCACTCTTCTCCTGAGCAGAGGTTTTCATGTGTTCATTTTCTCATTTCACCTGACTACATTCTTCCAAAGTGAATTGTTTGTAAGTTATTTGTCCAGTGGCATTTTCAGTAAGGATGCACCGAAGGCCAGTAGTGATGGGGCACTATACTGGAGAAAGCAAAAGAGGGGTCAGCATCTATGGGAAGTTTGGTGGCAGGTTCTTCCAATTGCTTTTCCACAAGTGTTTGAAGAACCTTATTCTATGAATATTCAAAAAGTAAACTGTGTTGGCTGGTGATTGATTTGGAAAATCATGTACTGCTGTTAGTCTTCCCTGACCAGGGGAGCCTGTATACACTCCAAGCACCAAGACAAACTGATCCCCTAGGGCACCCTGTCTGTGAATCTCTCTTGAAACTGCTTAGAGGGTGTCAATAGAAGATGAGTGATTCGGAGTTTAGGGGAGTTCACTCCAGGCAAATTACTGGGAATCATTGTCAGTAGTCACTGAGGTCTCAGAGAGAGAAACTCAAAAAGCAAGCACACGTGAAACAACAGCCCTACAGTTATCTACGCATGAACAAACACTCATTGACATATACTTTTTCTGATACCAAGAAATCATATTTTTGCTAATATACAGGCACAGAACTGTACCAAACATACATTACCTGCTCCACAGGTTGTAGATGCATAGGTCTTTTGCAAAGCCTTGTATCTCATCCAGAGAGCAAGCTTGTCAGTGGTGGTACTTGTTGCTGCTCACTGCTGTGTGTAATGATGATGTGAGTGCTAGGAAAAAGATGAAAACTTGAAGAATGAATATATTTACCTTTATTTTTAGTTTTCCTTTTCCTGTCCCAGTCCCCTTTCTCTGGCCTCTTTGGGATGTAGAGCTAGAAAGCTGGGAAACTTTGAGAAAAACAGAATTCAATTTTTACATTCCCTTTCCTTTTTTTTTTTTTTTCTCTCTGAATCATTAGCGAAAGTCTTTTTGTACTAAGTTTAAGAATCCTGTAATAATAGCCACATTTCAGTACTTCAGTAAGTGCACATTAGATAACTATGTACAGAAAATGAAGTTATGTAAGTAAAAAACTTACAGCATTGGACACATGACACATTTGTACCAAAGGTCCTATATATAGTATATGTGTCTCTTTGAGGTATATTGCAATTAATGTATGTAAGGGCATCGTGGTTATTTCTTAGCTTTTTGCTCTAGAAACATGAATTCCTTTTGTCTGAATTATAATGATGGGTCACCATTTTTATTTTATACTCTGATTTCTAGAAATATGGCCTTCCTTTTTGTTTAGAACTCAACAGCATTGATGCTTTCTATCTTAAATTAATTTCTCTTCAATTTCAGAGGTATGTCACCAGCCAAAAATAAGCTAAAATACTTTAGTGTGCAGCTCCATTTCTTACTCTAAGTAAATTTATTTTTTTCAAAGGTAAAGATTGTTTTATTTTATCATAAATCCCTGTAACATATTTTCTGTATGCTAACTAAATTATATGGAATGCTTTCCTCTCTCTTAAAGAAGCTGTAAAGTTTAGTTTCAGTGCATTAACTACTGGAAATATTCAAGGCTGTACTCTGGTGAAGTAAATATAAGGATGGCAGAGAAGGGAGAGGGGATGAGGAAGTAAAGGTTGTCTTGTACCCATGACCCAGCCTGTGGGGCTGAGCAGGGCTGTGACCCCTCTAAGATGACCCGTGGTAAGGTGGGAAGATGAATCCCAAGCTTCTGTTGTGTTGTGTTTTGGGCTGTAAAAGGCTATGACCACAGATAGTAACCTGTCTGCTGATGGTGGCTCAGGAGGGGACACCTGCCCTGCACCTGAAGCAGTCACGATGTCCAGGTCCACTTCTCCTGGTGTGCAGGTCCCTGGGAGTCTGCATGAATGAGTGATTAGCTCAGGACAAACTATCTGACATGTCCTTGGACTGCCAGGTTCTACTTCCCTTTTCTATGCTGTCAGAACACCTGGCACTTTGGACTTTCCAAATTTTACAGCTGTAGCACCTGCGTGGGTGATTTGGCATGAGGCAGCATCCCCGTGATTCGGTAGTCGCTCCAGGTGCCACCTGAGGGAAGGGGGGTGGTCCCACCTGCTTCTACAGCTGTTCCTGCTGCTGTGCTGCAGGAAGGGTTCCCATGCATCCTTCTCACGTGTAGTTACTTGGGCATTCCTCATCAGGATGCTGTTCTGCACCTGGCTGGTCTGCTTCCAGCTGCTCTCCTGGGCTCTTGGTGGCTCAGCCAGACCTGGAGCTCCGCATGCCCTGTCCTGGTGCAGTACCGTGGCATTGTTCTGTGGCTCCCTAAACAGCCACTGCGCTCCTCTCAGAGGTGGCTGCATTTCACTGGTGAGTAAAGCAAGCCCTTTCCTAGCTGTCAGGTTTTCTGCGGGACAAGCTGTCGTTGGTATAACCATTGCCTCTTCCACCCCCTCCGCTTGTGGGGACAGCTGCCTGTTCGCTGCTTACGTCGTGTGTCTCCTTGAAATCATTTATAACGATTGACTTTTAATTGTCTTTTAATTGCTTGTTCAGCACTCTGCTGTGGAGCACTGTGCCACTTCCTGATGGCAGGGAGGACCAGCAGTGGGATGTCAGGGTGAGAGGTTGCTGTGCTGGTGTGGTGAGGGATTGATCCGAGGTCCTGGGGATGTTCAGTAGCTCCTAGGAGATGTTCACTTTAATAACATCTCTGGGTGATGAGAAGCAGTGGCATGGAGGGACACGGCAATGACAGGATGATTTAAACAGCTTTTCTGTGCTGCTTCATCTTCACAGACATCGTAAATCAGATAAGTGTGGGACTGAGGAAAGGAAGGGGGAGAGTAGGGGACAGTGTGATGGAGGGAGGGCAGAGGGAGCCTGCGTTCATTCCGGTAAGCAGACAGGCAGGCTGATCTTCCCCCACCCCTTCTCCACCAGGCCCTGCTGTCATCCATGGAGGAAACACCTGAGTCTTCATGCAGGTGGCATTTCACCCACCCCAGCAGCTTCTTCAGTACCTTCCCTGTCAGTGTCTATCTGCCACCATCTGCTGTCTCATTTTCCTCCTCCTTACCAGAAACCCCATTCCTTCCCACAGGACCAAAACCCTCATTCCTAACCCACATTCCTACCCTTTTTCCTGCCAGAAAATGTTCTCAAATAACCCCAAACCCTGCAAACATCTTCATGATACCCCGTGTGGATCCCTGTGCAGCAGACACCAGCAGCCGTACTGTGCATTTGTCAGCACGAGGGGTCCCAGGAGCCCTGTGTGGGGATGCTGGCATGTGCCAGCCCCTTGCTCCCCGGTGCTGGCACACAGGGGCTGCCTCCCCTCTCCTCCCTGGCACGCACCCTGCTGGGGGTGGCAGGGTGTGACCCGCTCCTCTCTCCTTACAGATCTCTCGCAACCTGGGGAAACTCTACAGTGAAATGATCTTCGTGAATGGCTTTGTCCACTGCGACCCGCACCCAGGCAATGTGCTGGTGAAGAAGTGCCCGGCCTCTGGCAAGGCCCACATTATCCTCCTGGACCACGGGCTCTACCAGGTGTGTCACTGGGGGGGCTTCCCAGGCCCTGCGGGGCTGCCGGTGGGTGTCGGGCTGGAAGAGCTACCCAGCTGCAGCCTTGCTCCTTGAAGCCTGCATGAATACATTTTTCTTATTACTCCCATAACCTTCCAAGGAGATCTCCTGGCTCTGAAGTGGGGGATAGGGCATGGCTAGGGGGCACGAGGCTTTCCTCCTTGTTCCCTGCCCTCTGCAAACTTCTGAGGGCCGTGTCTCCCTCCCCAGGTGCTGAGCGAGTCGTTCCGCATGGACTACTGCCGCCTGTGGCAGGCCCTTATCAAGGCCGACATGAAGAGGGTGCAGAAGTACAGCCGGCGGCTCGGGGCGGGGGATTTGTACCCGCTCTTTGCCTGCATGCTCACCGCCAGGTCCTGGGAGTCTGTCAACAGGGGCATTGACCGCTCACCAGTCTCAGCCAGCGAGGTAGGACCTGTGTGCCCTCCCCTGCTGCGTGCCCTCCTTCTTCTCAGGTACCTTCCCTGATCTAACCACGTGTATCACTGATACCAGAGTGATCCTGGGCAACCCCTGGCAGCTCCATAGCAAATTCTGCCTTGGCAGCTGAGCTAGAGTAAGCCAGGAATTCTTCTACGCTGTGTGTTATAGCGGCTAAACTTAATCTCCCTGTTTTACTTGTCATGGGCTGCTTAAATTTTATATGATATTTTAATGGCTAAGTGTTCACCGGTTCTGGCAGGAGAAACATTTGTAGATCAACCTTTTCTTAAAATGAAAAGGAGTGTTTAATGCAGCTGTGCAGGGAACCAGCAAGGAGGATAGGGTGAGGTAGAGGAGACATAAAGGCCTAGTGGGAAGATACGAGAAGGATAATGCATTATCACTATTCATGTAAATGACTATCAGCACTGATACAAACTCCTAAAAACCCTCGGAAATTACCTCCCAATCAGAAACCCTATTAACTTGGAGTCAAGGTTGCTTAACTGCAGATTCTGTCAACTCAATCACTACAAATCTAGGAAATTGCCACTTATATTCTCCCTGCTTTCCTATCCACACATGCTGGGATCCTTCTCACGCCTGCTAGCACTCCTGACATGCACACATTGCCTTAAGAATAGTAGCAGCCCCTGCCAGCTGTGCTTTTTTTTAGAGGTGAGCCTATAGTGATGTGATTTCAGGAAATGGACCAGAGTCTGTAGGGAGAAACATGTTGTATCCTCTGGTTTGTTCTTATCTGCACACATTTGTAGCAGATAGAATGAAATTAATTTAAGTAGCATTAAAATATCGTTCTGTGAAATCCTCTCCTGGAAATTCCTTTGGGTTGGTGTTTCGTTTTGATGGATGGGGCTGAATTTGCTGTGCTGGCTCACCGTTACGCACAGCAATGAGTAGGTCGGATACCTGGGGTAATGGAACCCCCCCCCCCAGTAATTTGATTGCTTCCTACCTGAGTTAATTTTCTGCGTATCAGAAATAATATAATGACTGTTCAGCAGATCTGTGCTTGATCTGAGGAGTTCTGGAGCTGATAGCTCCAGAAGAAAATTCAGAGACACCACAGTGAATCTACACAGAGCTGGCTCCAGTCCTACAGGGCCAGTGTTGAACCTGAGCTCACAAGTGGTGTTTGTCCTAAGCTGGCTCACGTAAGTTATGCAGAGCTGTGGCTGTGGCTGCACGGCACACTGTGTGGGCTAATGAACTTTGTCAGAGCTGAATTGCTTGTATGGAGCCAACTCTGTTGTCTTGGCCTGTATGACACAATTAATGCTGAAACTGGATAATCCTGCAGCAGATAATGGGGAGCTGAGCAGATTTACTGTGACATTAGGAAATGAGCTGCTGCTTGCCCTTAGTTTAGAGGTGAATTGGAAAGATCGTATCAGCAGCAAGAGCCAAGTGCCCCTGTAGGCAGGTGCCATCAGCACAGAGCTCGGGTGAATGTGCTTGAGGATGGATTGGCAGCAGGGTGGTCTGAGAGACAAGTAAACCCTCCTGATACAATATCTTAGCTGTAGCCTGCTATGTCCAGCCTGGGGCACTGCCTCTTGAGAAAGGTTTGATGAAACTGGGAGAGGCCAGTGGGGAGCTGCAAGGACTGATGGTCAAGCAGATGCAACTCATGAGCTAAGGCTGAGCAAGCTAGGGCAGAAAAAGTCCAGAAAAGTGCAGGCTGAGGGGAGATGCAAGTGTGATTTTCAAATCTGGTAAAGACAGATTGCAAACAGGACAAGAAATAATGGGTTTAAAGTTTAGCTAAGGAGATTTTGGTAATAACACGAGTAAAGCAGGATCTAACGGCAAGGCCAGAGAGATGCTGGTGTGGATGGTCTGGGGAGGATGCGGGTCACATCACTGGAGGGTTTTAAGAGCAGGCTAGGCAAATGTGTGAGGGTTGCCATAGGTGTAGTTGTTCCTGCCTTGAGCCAAGGCCGGGCAGCTGACTGCCCAGGGTGGCTGCTAGCCTTATCTCTTCAGATTTTGTTTGTGTTTTGTTGCATCCTGCAGCAGCCTCTGCGACTGCAGCCAAGGGGCTTTTCTCAGGTCCTGTGGCATAGCTCATTTCTTCCTCCGTGCACAGGCTTCACCCTTCACAGAAAATGACAGGTCTGATGACAGATCTTGTGGTTGCTTTGTGATGTGTACAAACAGCTGGAGCTAAAAATAAAAAGGAAAGAAATAGAAAAGAAAACCTATGCATGGAAAATAAAGTAGCCTCTGCAGTGATGCTGGCAAGGATGAGAGATAAGAATATCAGGAAGGAATTTTCTGCCAAGAAATACTGGAACAAAACATTTAACGTTTAGGAGAGCTAAGCATGTTCTTACTGAAGATTTGTGTGTTAGATTGGTGATGGAGGCAGGACAGAAAGATTTATGTGTCGACACCAAAACAAACGTGATGGTGTGTAAACTGGATACACCTCTGACCATCATGGCCTGCACACGAGATTTGTGTGGGTCTTTTCCTCTGTAATAAGTCTGAAGTTCACAAAGGGTGGGTGTCACATCCCGTACCATGAAATACAGACCTGCCATCGCTCACTCCACAGAAGAGAAGGTTTTCGAGCTGTCTTCTCTCCCCCACAAAGGAGCCTCACTCTCTGTAAGAAGTCATTTACTACCCTTTGCATGTGTCTTGCTGGTTTCTGGAGATTTCAGGTGTTCCAGGGACTTTTTTTGGATTTCCTCGTATGGGTCTAGATGGATCTGTAGTCTGACACAGATGGCAGTTCTGTGGTCTTTTGGGTTAGCATAAAAGTCTGCATAATGCCTTCACACCTCCACTGAGCTGCATTGAAGACAGGGGACTAAGCTAAGCTTAGAAAAGAGCTCCATTGGTATATCATGAAGCCATCAGTTGCACGGGACAGCAAAATGCACAGGGCAGGGAGCAGCCTGCTTGTCCTTGCAGCATGCTCGACCTCCCAAGCAGTCCTGTGGTACTTGCAGCACTGCCAGCATTGGGTCTGTTGAGGTGAGACTCAGTCAGAAAGCTGCAAGGGCAGTAATGAAACGGTGGTGTGGTCTGCCTGGGCCAAGAGCTGAGATAGCAACAAACGCCCTGTTCTCCTGAGAGGCTGTTACTGCTGCCTGTAAGGTGGAGGGGCCTTATCTCACTGAAGGGCAGGTGGAATATAGCAAGAGTGCTGTGTGCCTATGCAGTGAGTGCTGGGGACAGCCAGCTGCCTGCTGCAAAACAGCAGGAAGAGCTCTTCAGCACCTGGCCGAGTCATGGTCTGGCAAAACGCTGTCTCCTCCTGCCAAATCTCAGCTGCATCTGGATGGGGGTTTCCCGTGCACTCTCAGCTTCTCTCTCCTTTCTTTCTGGCATGGCCTGGCCGACTGCAGGACGTGGAGATCCGGTCCAATGCTGCTGCTTACCTACCCCAGATCACCCAGCTCCTCAACAACGTGCCCCGCCAGATGCTGCTGCTGCTGAAGACCAACGACCTGCTAAGGGGGATTGAGTCAGCCCTGCACACGCGGGCCAGTGCCAGCTCCTTCCTCAACATGTCTCGCTGCTGCATCAGAGCTGTTTCCACGTGAGTGTCTTCTCCAGGCGCCAGGGCCCAGACATGGAGCAGCCTCCAGATCAGGAGGGCTGGCTGCTCCCCGGGGGCCAGGAGCCAGCAGGCCAAGGGCCAGTCCTGAGCAAGGCAAGCAGGGCAGGCCCTGTGATGCTGCCCAGGTTCAACCAAAAGTCCATATCATAATGCAACATCACGGGGATAAGGCAGGTCCAGGGGCAAAGGAGGAAGCTGACCTATAGGGCAGGCAGAGTGGTTGCCAGGCAGGTCTGTAGGGACAGGACAGGGTTGAGGTTAAGCCAGGAGGTCAGTGTGCTCGTACCTAAGTACTCCTCCAGTACTGGGCAGGCACTGAAGGCCCAGGCCTCAGCTTAAAAAATGGGGACAGGGATGGAGGTGCAGCCCGTAGGATAAGGTTTTAGGGTTTGGCCCTGTAACCCAGAAGAGGGCAGAGTGCCCATTACAGGCATCAGCACTGGGAAGTATTTGTGGGTAGGAAAGATCTGCCAGTTCACTGCTGCCTGCTTCTGCAAGGTGTTGGGGCTGACTGTGACGATGAGGCTGGTGTTCAATACCCAGGAACAGGAATCAGGCAACTGATTTCCACCTGTGAGTCAATTCATTCCCCCTACCTCAGGTTCCTCCTCCTTGCAGAAGAAATAACTGGTATTTGTCTGAATGCTGAGAGAAATGCAAGGCCCAGTTAACCTTTGCTTCTAAAGAAAGGGGAAGAGTTACTTTTCTCGGAATCAGTGTGTCAGGATTGTTGGACTCTTACGAATGTACTACCAGGAAGGGCTACAGGGGTGTAGCCATGGCCCAGGCTCACTACACGCAGCAGGAAGGGAGCTGGGCTCACACAGGAGCAGGCTGACTCTTCTGCCAGATTTGTGCCAGAAAGGGAGTCCCCAGCTCCTCAGGAGCATCTCCTTGGAGAAAAGCCCTACTCCATCCGCTGGTGGTGATTCTCCAGGAGCGGGACGGTCGCCTCCCCTTGGGGGGGTTGGTTGTACTGGGGCTGCAGGACAGGCTGCATTCCTGTCGGGCTGCGTCCTGCCGGAGCTAACGTGGCTGTTTCTCTCATTCCAGGTATCAGAGGAGCAAGAGTCGCTCACTTTACAGGAGAGTCCAGATCTCACTCACAGAAGGACTGAGCCTGTGGCAGATCAACCTGTATGAACTCTTCCTGTGGCTGAAGGGATCCCGGCTGGGGAACTGGGTCATCGCTCTCCTGAGCTGGATGCACCATTCCACATACTGACACGAGCTGGTGGGAGAGGCCTGGCTGTTCCCTCTCTCACTGCTGCTCTCCACGGCACATTTGCCTTTCTGACTGTTTCTGTCTATCCTGTGGGCTATTTTTGGGTCTCGTTCCTTGTTACATGCTGCACTGTCCTTGCATGTTACAGCATTAGCTCTCTCTGTGGCAGCAAGAGGTGGAGTAGGTACCAGGGCTCTGCTGATTTATGGGTTAGGAAAGGGAGGTGTGGAGTACCGTGTGTCAGGAAGGGCATGGTGCTTTCTCTCCCCATTTGAACAGGGGAAATTCCACACAGATTCCAGCGGAACTGCACTGGAAGCAAAAGCCTTTCCTCGGCTCTTTCTTAAACAATCTTAAAAAAGTTAAGAGAATCACAGCCCTGTCTAGAACGCCCCAAAACATTTGTCTGACCCTCAGAGAAAGCTGGTATATCCCTTAAAAATCCGATAGGGTTTATATTAGTTATTGCAGAGTCTCCCTGCAAGTGCCTGTGTGTTTCTGGACTTTCCCAGGCCCATTTCTTTGCAGTTGAAGTGGGGGAAGGGGACAGTGGTCCTTCTTCTTTTCCAGGATTCAGGGAAGGCAGGAAGGATGACGACTCAGGGCTCTGAAACTGCTGGTGATGTACGTGTACTGTACGGCGCTGCCACACAGCAAAATAAATGTGTTGCATCAAAGACATTTGTGGGAGGGATGCTGGCTGTACACGCAGGGTGACATTGTGGCCTCTGACCTCTGTCCTGTTCCCGTTTCTCCATGGAGTGAGCGATGCCAGGCAGTGCTTGTTAACTCCTTGCAAGTCAAATGAAAAGCCATCTTGCTCTGTCCTCTGCTCAAGAGGTTTGTCCCACAGCTGGGTCCTCTGGTGCTGTGTCAGATGTGTTGGGATGGGATGGGGTGTTGTTCTCCTGCAGGACACACCGCTCCTTGCCACCCAGATCCATGCTGAGCCTGCCTCCTCCCTGGCTGCAGCACATCTGTGAGACGTCATCATCCCCGTGTTGCACATCGAGCATTTTGCCTCGTCCCTGCCCGTGACATCTCACTGCTCCTGCCTCAGATGAAAACCTGCCACTTGCTCGGTGGTGCAAGTGATGGGTCTGATGGGTCTGACTCTGCAGCTATGGGATGGTCACTGTGAAGCCCTGCCCAGAAGCCTCTCTTATGCCAGCCGTACTTGGCATCCTGGGAGACAGCCCTGCTGCTTTTGAGGATTCCTGTAGTCCGCAAGATGGAGGTGGCTGCTGAGATCATTTCAGCTTTTTCATAAACGGTCTTGGTGAAAAGCGGCTTACATTCAGGGCACAAAGGATGGGCTGGGAACACCCCTTTGCTGCCAGCAAGCTTGCTCAGCAGAGGTGTGTTACTTGGGCACCAGGCTGTGCCTGAGTGTAAGTCCCAAGAAGAGCGTGTGCTGTCTCCATTTGCACGCAGTTTCCCAGTCTGCACAGGTGGCTCCTCACCTTGCAGCGTGTCTGCTTGGGTGTGAGGGGAATCAGGGGGCAGAAGTGGGGGTTTGTGTGTCTGTCAGTCCTCAATGGCTCTTTTTGGCCCTGTGGGAGAGGGGAGGGATGTAATGCACAAAAGGTACCTGGCTGCACGAGTGCTTGGGCATGAGGAGGGAGGGAGTGGGGAAGCGTGGCTTACAGCAGCGACTGTCTGCGTGCCCACGCACAGACAGCTGGCTCGGGGCTGTCAAAAAGTGGTGTGTGATTGGCAGAGCTGTCGATGGGGAATTACTGAACGTGGGGTTTTGGTCTCCTATGCAGTCAATTGCCTGACCCTGGTGTTAACTCTCTGATCCCTTCCCATGAGGGGGACAGAGGCAGGAGTGACGTGCTGCCTCATCTTTGCTAAGAGCAAAAAAAAGAAGCCTAGGTAAGACCAAATGTCCTTGCAAAGCTTGTCCCCAGCCTGTGCAGTGACAGATCAGTGATTCCCCATACTTGTGGGTTGTGCAACGGTGTCAGGGACTGGACTGGAGGTAATTGCAATGGTGAGACTCCTGAGTCAACAAGGAGTCACAGGGTTAGTGGTCCTGCAGCCTGGATGTGAGTAATCTTTGCTTATGTGAGCAGTCCTGCTGAATCAGTGCCTCTCTTGGGTAATTACAGCTGGTGGGCTGGCCACTGTGGGTGGGCCTGTCTTGTTCTCTTCAGAGGTAGAGCTCTGCTTGAAAAATTGCTCAGGTGCACTCAGGGAAGTCTGGGAGACCCTCTAGTGATGGTGACCCACTGCGCAGCCCCTTGTAGCTGCCCCTGCAAATCTCCTTACTTACCCACGTCTGTGTATAATGCCCAGAGCACTGCTTGGGCCTCTCAAACACCTGTAGGAAAGCTCATCCCTCAGCAGGACCCTGCTCCTGCAGCACCAGCCACGCAACTGCTAACGATGCTGCTTTCAGGGTGCAGGCTCTAAAAGTGGACGGGAACCAGCAGCTCCTCAAACTCGTTTTTGGCAGCAGAAAGCAGGGTGTATTTGAAAGAGCTTTGTCTATTGACATTATTCTCTGCCGGGAGGCTGCGGGCTGCGGAATTAGCAGTGGGGCTCCTCAGTCAGTTTCGCTCAGCTCTCACCATTCCCACAGTCAATCAATGAGGGTTTGCCTGAGGAAAGAACAAGCAAACACCCCGCGTTTGACCCTTTAACATTCCTGCCTTGTCTTTTCGCTGAAAGCTCGCAAAGGTGAATGTGTTAAAAGGGTTTTGAAAAGACACCTCCTCATCCCAATTGTGGTTGTCAAACACGGGTAACCTGGATCAGCTCTGTGCACTTGGCCTTTCCTCGCAGCCTGAATTTATTGGAGTTCTCACCACCAGCAAATGCTGGCTCTGCTGCTCCGCTCGCAGGCGGCATGGGGCTGCGCTCTGGCTGGGTTCAACTGTGAATGAACTGAAATTTCACAGTGCTCCCCGCGTGGTCCAAGCACTAAACGCGTGTTGTGAAGCAGACTCCTGAACCCACAAACTCCTTCTGAGGACTGATGAGGGGTGTGGTTGAGCTGAGGCCAGAGACACCAAAATGATGGGCAACTTTCAGCTCCTGTGGTGTGAAATCCTACGTTGTAGCCTGGTAAAGTCTCACTTCTGAATGTGCTCTGAAATGCTGAGGCAGCAGCAGCCATTTCAGCTGGTACTTAAACATGCATCATTGGGTTGGCTGGAGGTGGAAAGGGGATAGTCAGGGTAAATGGTGTTACCAAGTAAAACTGTGCAGGAATTTAGGGTAGGAAGTGAACAGGCTTTTTTTGTATCCACCTGAAAAAAAAAATAAAGCATTAGTCCAGGCTAACCAGCACAGCCTTTACCTAACACATCCAACGAACTTTAATGATGACAGGTCGGTGGCATACAGATTTGCAGATCAGGGCTGCAGGGTGCCCTCTGCCATCTCACAGGGACGCGTGAACCCAGTGCAGTCGCAGCGTAGAGGCTTTCCAAATGAATCACTGCTCGCATCCCATAGCAAATACACTGAGCCTGGCACGCAGCCTGGCCAGCACCAAAGCCATTCCCTTTCCAAACGACTCCCCTGGTGTCACTGGGGCTGCTTCCTAATGCATCTCAAGGCAGAGCTCTTGCCCCCTGCCACTCTTCTCTCCATGTCCTCCCCCCCGTGTGTGTCCCTGGATGTGCCACAGCTGCTCCGTGCTCACTGCCTCAAGCTGTGCTATAGGTGCAGTCAGCCTGCGAGGCCCAAAGGCTTTCTGCTCCTGATCGCCAGTCCTTGGGCACTGCAAGACGGATGGGGCAATGCCCATCCTGCCCCTGCCTCCTGCATGAGGAACCAGCCTCGGCTGTTTTGCCATGGCAGGGTGGTGGCCAGGCTGTTAATAGCAGTGGTGGCAGTCCTGCCAGGCAGCAGGCAGCTCTTAGAAGGGTGGTGTGAGGATCTCTGTGATGCTGCATGCTCCCTGCAGTTTTATTTTGCTATTTTGGGTCAGGGGTTTGGGGCTGGGAGGGGAGGAGTGTTGAGGAAAGGAAAGAACAAAAGTACAGAAGTGCTCCCCCCCTCCCTATTTTGTTAGTAAATACCAAAAAACAGCGTGACTGTAAACTCATTTGTGATCTTTAAAAGCTTCTGGATTGCTCTGCCTTTTGTTTTGCAGGTCACCCAGACACTGGCAGGCACGCTGAAGGGTTCCCCCTCACTCCCACAGCCCCACGTGCCACTGCGGCGCGGCGTGATGCTGAGTGAAGCACAGCCCTTTGCAGGCAGCTCTGAGCCTTTTTTTGGCTCCGTCTCCGTGGAGCTTTCATGTGGCTGCTTCTCTCCCTCCCCCAGCTGGGACTCGTGGGCTTTTCTAAGCTTTTTGTTCCAGCCGGTCAGCCAGCAGCCGTCTCTTGCTGGGGATGACGGGCTGGCACATGCGAAGCCCCCGGTTGGGAGGGGATGCTGGGTCTGCCTCGGCTCCCCGTGGTGCGGGGCTGAGCCGGCCTTGCCCTGCAGGGCAGCTTTCTTGTCCACCTGGTGTGGGGCTGGCCCTCCATCAGCCCTACCAAGGTGCCCAGGGGCTGGGGTCATCCTCGTCACTCCAGGAGTTGCTCAAAATCTGCCCCAGACTGTAAAAGAGCTGGACAGCAGGAGAGTGGCATTAGTAAATCATAAATCACCCTCCCGAGAAAAATCATCCTTCCCAAGTGTCGTAGGGGTGACCACAAGGCCTCCTGCTTTTTTACTCTGGTAAGTGTCACTAGGACCTTCCTGCTGAAAAGAAAACCTACCAGCAAAGTCACGGCCCTGCTGAAAAGGAGCAACGAAGGGTTGTGGTGGAGGTTGTGGTAGACCCCACACAAACACGAGCTCACAGTGCACTGTCACTGGGACCCGTGGAAACCACATCCAGGGCTACATCAGGAGTGTGGCTGGTGAGGCTGTGAGGCTGCTTGTTGTCCACTGCTTGGTGCTGATGAGTCCTCACCTGAACCAGCACCCTCTTTTGGGTCTCTCAGGTTGAGAGGGATGCTGATAAACTGGGCTGCATCTGATGGAGGGCTAGTGGCATGGCCAGGACCTACTGCCCATAGCCTGCAAGAGAGATGGGCTTGTTTAGGCTGGCAAAGAAGCAGCAAAGGGATAATCTGATAACAGCCAGCAACTCTCTGAAAGGGAGTTAGAGAGACAACAGAGCCAAACAAGGGCTGACGGCCACAAGTTATAGCTTGGACAGTTAGATTAGATACAGGGAAGAACTTCCCCACCCAGGGTTTATCTTTGCTCTGAAGTGATGCCCAGGCCAATGCTTGCCAGCCTTTTCACTTGCAGACCGGGGCTGTGAGCTTGGGTGTCCCGGCCAAAAGCCAGGCTGGGTAGCCCACCTTGCAGCTTGCAGTCAGGGATTTCTCAGATCCTTCCTGGGTAAAACCCACGTGTTGTGGTGCTTTCATGTGCAGGGGCTGCGTGCTGCTCTCCAGGATCCTGCTGTGGTCCCGTTCGTTCGCACCAGGGCTGCCTCAGGCTTTAAACCAGGAGTAAATTCTGCGTGCATACAGATGAAGGCTGCTTGAGCGAGCTGGAGGGATGTGAAGTGACCTTTGTGTAATGGGAATTGGGGCCCACGGAGAAAGCATTAGGTATTTCTCTGGCTGAGGGCATTTGGTCTTGTTCTGCCAAGAGCTGCACCCAGCTGAGAGACCTCCCCTGCCTGGCCTTGGATCCTTGGGAGGCTGCAGCCAGTTCTCCGAGGGGTAGCGATCCAAGTCTCTGTCATCTTCAGGGATCACTGCAGTGTGTTTGCCCTCAGCTAGGCTTGAAGGAGCCCTGCAAGCTGCAGCTCAGGCAGGAGATGATTGTGCACTTATCTGTGCTGCTTCCACTGAACCTGTGACACACTCGGC